ATTAATCACTGAAAGTTTATGCATATCGAATGAGACATGATCTCGTAGAACAAGAAATTTTATTCTTGAACAATGATAAACTTTTATGAATTTTCTGTTAGTGTATATCGAAGACATTACAGCACATATGTTTCTTATAATTGAAAGATGATTAATTAGAAAAAAGAAGTATATTTCGTAAACACCAAAATTCGAAGGTGATTGCTTTTGATAATTATATATGTTGATTTGATTCTGTTTTAGTGTTTAGCATCATGAAACTTGCTTTTGTTGGACAAATCATATTAATACAATTCACTCTTTAGTAGTTTGTTTCTTGAAGCGTCTTATCTCATGGTTAACTAATAAGTATAAAGAGATGATTAAAAGCTTTGATGAACTTTTAACACTTTTTGAAATATTTTTCTCATGATGAAATCGTCGTATTAAATCATTATCTTAAAGTATTCAAAATCAAATAATGAAAAAATAATAAATGAAAAACAATCGAATCTATTTTCATCAATCGTGATTTTGATTGAATTAAATCATTATAGATATTAATACTCTGTAGAGACATGCAATACATATATCATGGAAATACATAATCAGAACTAAAATGATCAATTCAAATGTCGACAAGAATTAAAGAAAAAAAAAATAATTTTTATAAATTCTTTCAACCGATCTACATTTTTTATATATTTGTTAAGCTTTCCATAATAAAATAAGGATACTTTGTAATTCTTATCTTCTTCGAAAACTTCTTCTTTCAGAATAAGATATTATATATATATACTGAATCTTTGTCGCAGTCAAAGTTCGTGTGCTTTTTCATTTCTAATTGTATTACATGAGCTTCTATGAAATCTTAATGAGTACATAGAACTCTATTGAAATAAAATAATTAATCGTTCAAATGTAAGTAGCCTTCCACAAAATGAATTTAATACTAAAAAAGTAGTTGATTCATTTATGTGTTTAATCACATGGTCCAGTAAAGACGTTAAAATAAATATATTTTTCTTTTTTTCTTGAATATCTTCTAAAACATATTGTCTTACAAAAAACAAACAATTCACAACATCAGTGTACAAAAATAAGATTTGTATCATCTTTTTTTATATTTTGTCAAGATACATTCTATATAACTCACATATAATTAACTTAAATTTATTATAGATATATTAAATGAGATATTTCTCAAATTTATTCTCATCTTTCATTTTATCTCCTTGAACAACATTAGCCGACTACATGACTAATAACAGGAATCTAGACTTATCATGAGTGTCAGAAAAAGATCAGAAATCAAAAGAAATAAACAAATGTGACATAACATGATTCACATCATATCAGCACATGTTTTCTACTAGCATTATATTGAGGTATATTTGATGATGATTCTTCTCTTGAGACACTTACGTTCTAGTCAATAAACAAAGAACGAAAAAAAGGAAAGGGAAACAAAATGTAATAAACGACACTGCACGTGTTAATGCTTTTTTTACGCTCTGATCGTTTTCAGCTGTTGTATCCACATAAGAAAACACTTTCTAATTCGTATTAAATACTCTAACTTCTATTACGAGTTTGTTTATAAAATGGAAAAATGGGATCGTAACACTCAGTTATTAATTTCAGCTGCTATTGGTGTGAGCCGAACAATCGGTGGTCTTCCTCTTGAACATCCATTCGATACGATTCGTACACGATGGCAAGCAAATCCAGCACACTATCAGAATTTTCTGATAGTAGTTCGTGAAATCTATATGTCGAAAGGCTTTCTTGGTTTTTATTCTGGTGCCATTCCAAATACAACTCGACGTGCTATTAAACAAATATATTGTTGGCCTATGATGCTATTCTTTCCTAATTTC